GTTATATTAGCACGATGCAAGAAGACAGGAGCAATAGATTCTTTCATTATCCTATTCAGGATCCTTCTCAGACTTACTACTGTAACATGGAAAATTATAGAAACAGAAAAGCACATACAATAGTACTAACGAAACCTCCTGCACCTTTAAAACCAGACTGGGAAAATTTCCAGTTCAACATTGAAAACAGGTGGGAGTTGCAGAGTTGAGGTTCTGTCACTTGTGTTTGTGTCCTTCTGTCAGCCGTTTGGAGTGTTCTCAACAGGACGTCACATCAGGCTATCCACAGACGTCACAATCACTACCAGGCAAACCTCCTGACCCACAAAGAAGCTGTTTTTGATAAGAACAGTGCTTTCTCTAAACTGTAACAGATACACTTCGCCATCATACTTCTGCTTCCTCCAATGTACTGCAGTTTGAACAGATGTATGGCACTTGTCAGTTTCCAACAATATTAATACTTGGCAACAACAAAGTTATGAGTTGATTCTCAGGTTCAGGGGAATACAGTATGGATTCAAGTTTTCTCACAGCCATCTATTTTCATGTTGTCCTTTTTTACACTGAAATATCTGAAAAGCAGGGAAATGTGACAGTGATATATATTCTGTCTCTACCTGGTGCAGACCCAGAGCACCTTACTGATGGCTGCCAAGAAGCCCAGGAAGCAGGAGCCTGAGAACCAGCCCAAGGTGTCTTCAGAGGGCCAGGAAGAAAACAAGAAGTCAGTAGGATTCATTGGTTAAGGCCAAACGGATATTTAGATTAAAGTTAAAACTTAGGGCTAACTTACAAAAAAGTGTCATCAATACACATAGAATAACAGTACAGTAACATAAAGGACAATTGTCAGTAGACAGCAAAATGTTTGCACCTTGACACTGTCAAAAACTGTTGTTAGGGTTACAAATACTGCCACTTTAACCTCCATAAAGTGGTAGCCAAAAGGCTACTTCAGCAGGGAAAAAGTTTTTTTTCCATTTCTGACTGCAAAGATTGTAAGGGGTCCAACCTGTTTTGTACTGCGTTTGTATGTTTAGGCCTGTGTTTACTTCATGTATTGTTTGTTTGTTTAGGGTAGTGAAAGGGTTCGACCTGTGGTTTGAGCAGGAGCGGGCAACGCTGCAGGAGGAGAACACAGAGGAGAGCGAGGCCGGACTATTCCAGCTGGCCATCCGGGGCTGGAGAAAACTGGACAAGCAGGACCAGAAGGTCGGATTTGTTCCATCTCAGGTTGTAAAGAAATATTGCTGAACTGGAAATGAACACAAAACCAGTGTACAAAAATGCCACAAAAAAATCTCTTTTTTTCTCTCCAAACATAAATAAATTTACAGTACTCAGTCATGAAGTGGTGGAGGGCCAGAATGTAACACCAGCTCGTGGCAAAACTTAGTGAAAGAATCCTGAAGATGTGAACCATTCTCCCCTCAAGCTGTTGGCACCACTCTTAGCAACAAGTCTCCTACAAACAGCCTGACTGTCTCCCCCAGGCTAGTCTTCTTTATTTCAGGCCAACAAGGAACAAAATTAGCCCAAATTTCTGGGAAGGACAGTCTGGAAATAAGACATAACATCCGCATATAGAACACAAGTATATTTTGATTTCTCTAACAAGCGATAACTTGGACTGAATTGCCCAAACTTGTCCATGAAACGGGGCTTCCTGTTGTGTCAGTCCGTCGGGTGAGATTTCTGTTTCATCAAACGTTATTGTCCTTTCCTTTACATGGAGTCTATGATTCAAAATTGGGAAGGACAAAGTCAAGGGCAGACGTCACACCCAAGGTTGCCACAACATGGCAACCAGTCTGCAAGCTTTAGAAACAGTAATTTGACATCACAAGGATACAGATGTGATGTATACTGTAGTGTAGTTGAGACAAGTCAGCAAGCTTTTGGAAAAAAAATTTGTACTTGCATGTTATGTTTGTCTACAAGTTGTAACCACAAGGAAAAGGGAAGAGCATCTTTAGAGCCCAGCATATGAAATTATTAAACCACAAACTGATAAAAGGCAGTGTAGTTTGCTGGGGTCATAGGTGAGGTCCATTGATGTGGGTGACCTCTGGCAGTTTACTT